GTCCAGACACCATCCTGCAGCACGTGCTGGAGAGGACACTGGGCAGCGGGTGTTTGGAGGTGATCTGGAGGAATGTGGGGGGGCACACGCTGTTCTTGACTTGCTGGAGGAGACGATTTGGCCCTGGCAGGAAGCTCCCTGGGACTTTTCCATTGCCTCACCAGGCCCAGAGCTCCGGGTGTCATTTTTCCCTGCACGAGGCCGTTGGCAGGCTCGGGGCTGGGCGGCTGTGGGCTCCACTCCCTGACTCATTCCTCTGCTGCCTGCTTTTGGGCAAACCTCAGTCTCACCCCACGCCTTGCCCCTCTTGCCAGAAGTAGCTTTTCTTTGCCAAAAAAAAGGCTGGTGAGTCCATCTGTCCTGCAGCCACCTCCTCCCTGCAGCGGCCGCAGCCCCTTTGCCCGTCCTCCCCTGCATCCCCTGGCACATTCCCCTGCCCAGGGAGCCAACAGTCAGTGGGGTTCTTTGCCCTGAGAAGCCCATGTCCACCCCTCTCCCAGCACCAGCCCCTTGCCTCTGCCACAGGGAGGTGACAAACCCCCTTGGGGCTGAGCCAGGGTGACTTCTGCAGGTCGTCCAGTAAGCAGAGAACAGACGGGAAAAAAGCAACCGGTTGTTTTCCCGGAGAGATGTTGCACAAGAGAGCCAGGATGTGCCCAAGCTTTCTGGAAACACACGTCCAGCATCTTCTTCCTCCATCCTGCACCCTCTTGCACAGCAGCTCTGTGCCACCCAAGGGTGTCGGTCGCCCTTTAAAGCTCAGCTGGCAGCAGGACGTGCCGGGCGCTTGCCAGCGCCTACGGCAGCAGTCAGCTGATGGCCCAAATGTCCACAGGCTCCCCCCACCCCTTCATTTTTCATACTCCAGCCACACCAAGAAGCAGCAAGAAGCCCAGCCCAGGCAGCACCCCGAGCCCACGCTGACCACTGAGCCCAGACCAGCCCCAGGTAAGGTCCAGGGTGGTTTCTGCATCAGCACCAGCCGCCTTCCAGGGCAGGAGGAACATGGGCAGGATGAACAAGCACTTGACTTTGGAGAGGGGGTAAGATGTTATTAGGGAGGCTCCGAGCCCAGGCATGGCTTGCAGGAGGGGATGGGAGCGAGGGGGGACAGTCGGCACCCTGGGGGGGCTGGTGGGAACCTCTGGGGCAACCTGAGGGTCTGCAGAAAAAGAGCCCAGTGGCATTCGAGTGCCCATCACACTGATGGCAGCACTGGCAAGCCTGGGGCTGGGCAGCAGAGCCTGGGCAGATGTGTTTGGTGCTGTGGGGGGCAGAAATCGGGCAGGGGGGTAAGGGAACCTGTGCCCTTTCCCACAGGATGTGGTGGCACCACGTCCCCTTGTGCCAGGGTGCTGCTGCCAGCCCCAGACAACACAACTCCCGTCCCTCCCCACCCAGCCTGTCGCTTCCTGCAGCCAAATAAATCCTTCAGCCCAGCAAAGGGAATCTTTGCATCTTCATTGGGGATGTGGGGACCAGTCATCAACTTTATGAACATCATTTTCTTTCAGGAGAGGAAACGTAAGATAAAAGAGCTGTTTCTGCATGTGAGGATTTATGGCAGGGTGGTTAGAGCTGGGTTTCTTGCTGAGAGCTGAGCTTTTTGTTCCCAGCGTGGTGCTGCCCTGCAACTATTTCTGACTGTGGCTGTAGTCAAGGGAAGAGCAGCAAAGGCAGATTTGAAGGTTCATTGAGGGCTGCAGCCACTTGCCTGCCCATGCAAAAAAATAGAGTCTGCTTCAGGCCCTGCTGGGGTGGGCACTGGGCTGGAACCAGGAGGATTTTCCTTATGGCCAAGGCATTTTGGAGGCAGAAGGGCAAAGACTGAAGGGAAATGTGGCAACTGGGCATTGTCCACCCCCTGCTCTCAGGCTGGGCTGCTGCTCGATGCAGGAACTGGTTTGGATTCCAGGGCAGCTCCAGTACCAAGAGTGTGGACACACAGATTGCTTCAAATTAACCACGATGTTCTTTCATTGCCTTTTAATGAAGCAAGAAAATCACAATGAGCAGCAGTTGAAACCCAGCTTGGAGCAGGGTGACCACAGAAGGTGCTGACCACTGTGTGTGAGGCTAAGAACATGCTCCTGGGCTGTCAGAGTGCTTGTTTTTAAAGTGATTTTGCTTTTTAATCTCCCAAAGTATTTCTGCTAAGAGGACCCCGGGCACTGGGGAGATGCAGATGGTTTAAAGGATCTTGGGGGTTTGTTTTTCTAGAGAGGGGAGTTCTCTGTATTTTCCTTCCCCAACATTTCCCAGCCCATCCTCATCCTCAGTGCTTGGGTCAATTTATTTTTGTAGCTAGGGGAAAAACTATTCAAGGTTTCTTGTTTTGGTTTTGAGGCTAGAGATTTATCTGTAATTCTGTGTATTTTTAGTGAGGTAAATATCTTTTGGCATTCATGATAACTTGAGCTGGCAGAGGTGATTTATTTCAGGAGTGTCTTGTTTCAGAGGAGCTGGGAGCAGCTCAGTGAGTGTTTGTGGTAACATTTATCTGCCCCAAATGGACAAGTTGCTTCAGAACAAAAACTAAATGGAAAAAAAAAAGCCCCTTACTCTTACTGCAAACCTCACTCTGAGTTTTGCTTAAGAGAAAACAGTAAGAGCCTTATAAAATCGTGGGGGTTTGGTTGGTTTTTTTCCCCCTCAACTCTCTTTGCAACGCCAAGGTTGCCAGGATTGTTGCTGTGGTATGTCAGCTGAATTTCAGCCTTGGACTGTCTCTGAAGCAATAAATACTGGACTGAAGTCACACTGTGCTGGCACTCCAAAGAGGTGTTATGACAAATCCACTTGCTTTTTGCTTTTCTCCTTTCTTTTTTGAAAAAGAGGTGGAGGAAAAAAAAAACAAAACCCAACAAACCCAAACCACCCTAACAACCCAACAGCTTTCAAGGGAGAAATCCTCTTTAAAAGTTGCCAGCAACTTAACAAAAATGCTAAATGCTTTTATTAACTTCTAGAAAAGCTCTGAAGAGCTGCTTTCTTCCCTGGTTGAAAAGCACTTGTCTAAGTGGCCTGGCTTTGTTCCCTCGCAGGGGTACCTGCGGGTAATTGTAGAGTAGAAATTCCTCTCCAAAGTGTGCAGAGAGGGAAGAATAGAAAAATGAAGGGGGAAGAAAAACCCACCTTGGGGGAAGGTAAAGGAGCTGCTCTGGGTGGTTTGGAGTTAGGAGTGATTTTTCTTTCCCTTCAACCCACCTCATCCCACTCCTCCAGGCAAAAAACAAAGCAGGCACCTGCGCCGAGTGCTCGTTTGCTCCGTGGTTTAATTGCAGCATGAAGGGGAAGCTGAAGCACAGCAGAGCTTTGCTCTTGGTCATGGGATGAGGAATATGTGGGGTTTCAGTGGTTCAGCTCCCAGGTTGGGCTGTCAATGCCCTGCTTGCAGAGAGCAGCAGTCTGGCTGGGAAGCTCCAGGTTTATTCCTGGTGTGATCACTGAGGTTCCACCAACCCTCTGCTCTTCGGTGCCTCCTGGTTAAGGATGGGGGGATGATGCTGCCACGGTCCCAGCAAGGCTTGGGCTTGGCAGAGGTGGTGTCGTTCACCCAGCAACATCCTGGAAGCTTTGCTAGAGAGGAATGGATCTCCCAAAGTCATTATTATCTACTGCAGTGAGTTTCTGCTAGCAAAAATAGGAAGCAGAACTCCTCAAGCTATGCTGAAGCTGGAGGAACAAGGAGAAAGCCCCTTGAGCTAACAGGGGCAGGCAAACCAGGGCTCTGCACGCCCTTTTTTAAAGGCTGCAGGAACATGGAACAGTCCTCAACAGGATAAATTTATGATTTTTTCCCCCCCTATCCCTTTTAGTTTGAGGTCTGAAGCATCTTCCTCTGATTTTACTGCCTTGATGGTTTGAAGCCAGACTGCTTCTCCAGGGCAAATAGTAGCTCAGCTGCCTTTTTGTCTTTCTCAGTGGTTATGGGATTCCCCTGCCCAGTGTCCACCAGAGCAAGAGCCCTCCATGGACTTCTTGCAAAGAATCTAGTGCAGGGGTGGGTGTTGCTGGGTGCTTGCAAGAGGATCACAGACATTGTCCCTGCCTGTGCTTCTCCTCCCTTACTGTTTTAGGGCCAGCTCTTGTTGCTCTCAAAATCCAGGGGGAATTTCTCTCGGGGGGGTTAGAACCGTGAACAGAGCTGCTGCTGGATGCTCCTTGGGGCTGCAGCAGAGGGCAGGGATGGGGAGCTCAGGGGGGACTGCTGCTTGGGTGTCTGGTTTGACACGTGCTCGTGCCACGTGTTGCACGGTGGAGGAAACGCTCCTGCTGATGCTCTGGTGTTAAATGACAGCAAAGGACCCCACTGAGCTCTCTTTAGAAGGTGCATGAAATGTTGCTAACCCCACCAGCGGTGTTAAGAGGCAAGGGGCTGCCCAGGGAGGTGAGCCTGGGGAGATTTTATTAATAAACCTCCTCTGGAAGGGTTGTCCTAGCTTGGGAAGGACTAAGACCATCACTAACACCATCCTGTAGGGCAAACTGGAGCTGCTGCACAGCGAGGGGTGTCAGGAATACAGTGTATTAATAACCTGGCATTACTGGCCCAAGGAATGCCCTGATCCAGCTGCTTTGATGAGGCCATCACATTAACTTGATAGCTCTTCTCATCATTTCCCCTCTTGTTTCTTTTGCCCCCAACAGGTCTAAATTGGGTCTTTCCTAGTCTCTACATTTCATGCCAGGGCTCCCTGCCAGCCCCTGGGCACCTAAAGAACCCACCCTGCTGTGCCCAGGCTGTGCTCCCAGCCCCGCTGGGGTGCCAGTGCAGATGGGGGCTTTGTGGGGGCTTTGTGGGGGCTTTGTGGGGGCTTTGTGGGGGCTTGTCCCCCCTTTCTCACTCTGCTCTGTACCCTCTCTCTTACAGACACCATCGGTGAAAACCCCGAGCGAGCGTCAACCGGTCCAGCACAGCACCACCCAAACCCCACTTCTGATCCCCCTTGGCTGCTACTAAAGGGGAGCAAAGCCCCCCCTGCCCTTCGCCCAGCACCATGGTGGGGCAGAGTCCCCTGGAGCCCAGCGAGAGCAGAGCTGCTGTCCTCCTGGAGCCCTTTGTCCACCAGGTGGGCGGCCACATGAGCATGATGCAGTACGACGAGCACACGGTCTGCAAGCCCCTGGTCTCCCAGGAGCTGAGCTTCTACGAGTCGCTGCCCTTGGCCATGAGACAGTTCACACCCCAGTACAAAGGTAAGGAGAGGGGCTGGGAAGGGAGCTGCGGGTCAGCGTTGTCACCAGGATTAGTGCTGAGCCTGGAGTGAGGGCTGGGTGGCAGCGGCTGGCTCGGTGGGGCTGAGCTGTGGAGCCTCCTCACTCATGCAGGTTTTGCTGAGCAAAGATGCTTTCCTGTGTGCATGGAGCAGGTCTGGGAGGCTGGGGGGGGGTTTCCTGGGTCTCTGTGGCTGTGGGGAGTCTTTGATGTCTAATAAGGGTTAAGCACTGGATGATGGCACCAGGAGACCCTCCTCTCTGCCCGTCCCCTTGCTGCTGTGGTTGGCCGTGGTGACACAGGGGACTCTGGTCATGTCAAATAGGGCTGAAATTGGTCAGTTCTTGAGATAATCATGACAAGATGGAAGCTGAAAGTGTGAACATGATCCTCTCCTGGGGAGCCAACAGCCTGGGCAGTGCAGGAGTGGGACAGAGGGGCAAAACCAGAAAAAAACCCCCCACAGAACAAGGGACAGGAATAGGATGGGGTTTCCCAACAGCATTTGCTTCAGGGATTTTGAAGGTATGGCCCCTGATGAGTTGTCCTGGTGGCATGTGAATGGCAGTACTGAAGAGGTGCAGGAGAGCAGGGAACAGGAGAGTCTTCGACCCGACACTTGATGTGCTCTGCTCAGTGGAGCTTTGACACTTGATAGGTTTTATTCAGTAGAGCTTTGACACTTGATAACATTTTATCCAGCAGAGCTTTGAACGAGCAGCCCCTGATCAGAAAGGGTTTCTATACCAGAAAAAGAGCTCAGGCTGCCCTTGCCCCACATCCATGGCCCCATTGCTCCAGGCCTTGGTTTGAGAGGAGGTGAAGGTTTGTGACAGAAGCAGAGAAGTCACTGAGAGCAAGGAAAGGGTCACGAGCTGGGGGAGAGATGGTCCTTGGGGCCAGCATGAACCATCAAGCCTGGAACTCCAGCCTGGGATGTATCAAGGTTTGCTGTTGCTGGGTGCTCCACCCTGGTTGAGCTCTGCTCCCCCCAGCACTCCTGTGAGCTCTGGGAAAACTTAAAAACCACATCCCCAGGGCAGGGAAGAGCCTCCTGCCTGGTCCCTCCCTCCAAACACCCTGTCCCCAGCTCTCCTTGCCCTCAATCACTTTCTCAGCCAAATTTCTCAGCCTAGCTACTGCAAAGCAGCCCTTGATGTCTGTGAGGGTTCTAGTATATTTTTAAGACATCCCCCCCCTCCCCCCCTTCTTCCTTATTCCCTCACTATTTCTGCCTTTACTGCCAGACTCGTGCTGCTCATAAAGCTCCTGACCCTGGATTTTCAGGAGAGGCGAGCTCGGCTGTCACCTAAAAACCTAAAATATCTTTTGGTCCTTCAGCATTACAGAAAAGAGCTCAAAGTGTCAGCAGTGCTTTCGATGAGCCTCCAATCCAATCTCTCCCTTTCCCAGAAAGTCAGAGGCCTTTGCAGATAGATGGGATGATATTAAAAAGATGCTTAAGAAAGAAAACAAGTCTTCTTCCAAGCAATTTCCTTCAGCCAGGGCAGGGGTTCGGTGCTGGAGAGCTGGGACCTGCTCTGTGTCTCTAATAAAGATGTTAAGCAGTCCCAGCTTATCAGTTGAGGGGTAGCCTGGTTATTAATACCCTCTTGTCTTCTTTTTCCCTTTTATTGCAAGTCCCAGGGAGTTTTGTGAGGAGGGGTAACTGAAGAGCAATTCTCCAATTTGGCATCGGCCACACACATTTGGTTTTATTCTGAGTAGAACTGTCCCAGCCCTGAATGCCAGTTAAAGAGGTGGAACATTTTCCCACGAGGGTGATGGGGGGGGGATAGGCATCGGGGGAATAATCCTGAGGTCTTCTTCAGCCTTTCACACGTGTCCATGTTCCTCATCTCTATTCTTAGGCTGGGGGGGATGGCTCAGGGACTATTATGTAATGATGACATTCTGTGCAATGTTGATCAAATGTCATCATTCAAATCTAAGACTGTGTTGGCTGCTTGAAAGAAAAAAAAAAGAAGTCTACTGCTCTCTTAACCATTTCATGCAGGTTGGTGACCTTGGGGCCAGCTTTTCCCCCTTGTAAACCTCTTCCTGCCCCATGCTGAGCTTGGGAGGGGATGCTGGACTTGTTTTCAAGCCCAGTTCTGCTCAGGTTCCTATTGCAGGCAGTGGTGAATAAATGCACTTGTAAATTTAAAAATAAATCCATGAGGGTAGTGCCACATAGCAAAATGCTCCTGAGGTTCTCTGGGATGCCACCAGCATGGTGACAGCATCCGTAAATACCCCCTGGCTGCCTTGCTGCTGCTGGACAGGAGGGGGATTGTGGGGTTAGGGACACTAAAGGGCCAGCAAAGACAAGTACCTAAATCATAGAACCCATAATGTTTAGTTTGGATAAGAACTTTAAGATCATGGTGTCCAACTGTTCCCCCCCACTGCCCCGTGTCCCTCACCCCACATCTCCACAGCTTGGAAACCCCTCCAGGGATGGGGACTCCACCACTGCCCTGGCCTCCTTTGCTTCCAGATAGATGTTTTCTTGTTGCAATAAAGAGAAGGGTGGTTGCTGCGTGTTCTAGATTTGTTTTGCAGACAGAGGTCACTTGCAGCACTTCTGCAAAACCCATATGGAAGCCCACCAGGAAACAAAAGTATTTTTCAGGCTGAGATGTAGGGTTTTGAAGAGTTTTTTGAACTGGAAGGAATGAGAGGATCACATTCCCTTGCAATTTCACTGCTCATTCTTGCCTTTGAAAATCTCCCCATTAATTTTCATATTAATGTAAGATACTTAAGAACTCTTAGTTTCGTGCTATATATAACATTTTTAGGGCCAGATTGTTAGCACTATGTAAATCAGCACAGCTCCATTGACTTGCAGATATGTAATTGGGACAGTTTTTAAGGTTACAGGCTGCTGTGGTGCCATAACTGAGGCAGAGCTAGATTTGGAATCAAGGACTCCGTTTGCCTCGCAGTGACTTTTTAAAACTAAAAAGGCTTTGAATTAGGCAAAAGATATGCTGGCTTTTTTATTTTTTTCCCTATCCCCTGAAAAATCAAAGCAGGCATCCAAGCTGATAGGAATTTTGCTGGCTCTTGGTTAGCTGTAGTATGGATTTTTTAGGAATGGGACTCAGTGAAAGATCAGGTGGGTAACGTTGGAGCCTGAGGAAGACAGAGCTCCCTGTGCTCATCATGACCATGAGCAAAGGACTGAGATAGCTAAAAATATTGCTTACCCCCTAATTAAGGTTTCCAGCCCCCCAGCTCGCCTGGCAGAGCAGCCTGTGTATATTCCCCCCCCCATTTCAGTGTAAAATAAGCTGGTTTAACAGAGCCTGTCATGGCAGGCTGTGCAGATTAATGGTGATTTTACAGCCAAAGAGGACAGAAATGGTTGTGGTAGCTGAGCAGAGGGGCTGTATGGAGGACAGGAGGAGGGAAGTGGATCCAAATACAGCTCGAGCTGCAGGATTATGAAGTGCAGGACCCAGGGAGGGATGGGCACCTAAAGGAGCAGCTAAGGGAGGTGCTGGTGGCTGCAGAAACACAGAGCTCCTGCAGTTCCGACAGGGAAGACCTCCCGCAGTCAGCAAAACCCAGCAGGCAGGTCTCTGCACACACACACACACGGAGGGCAAATCCTTCTGGCTGTGTTGACTTACTATAATCTCACTTTAAATGGAGAACAGGGAGTTTGCCTGTTTATTTGTTTTGGCAAATTGGCTTGGGAGAACAGAGCTCCCTTGTTTGTTGAGCTGCCGAAATGCATCTCCCCGCAGTGCCCAACAGACCCAGTGAGGACGCCCTGGAAACAGCTGGATAAAACCCCAGCTCCACATGCTGCTAACAGGGCTCTTCCCAGGGTTGAGTTTTGCTGGTCCAACAGCTTTGACTGTCCTCTTTTGGGTTTGCCTTCCTGCAGAGAGATGTGAAAGCAGCAGAGCGCGACTCATGCGGCTGGCATCCCGTCCCTCTGAGCCCCCAAAGGGCGATGCTCTAAAAATGCTTCTGCTGCCTTGGGAGGCTCAGACAGCCCTGACCCAGGCTTGCAGGAGCAGGACTGGGCTTATCAGCCTTTCCCAGAAAGGTCAGAGCTGTCGGGTTCAGAGCCACAGCCATAGTGGAGGCAGCCGCCCCCATGCCAGGGATGGGCTGAGACTGGGCTAAACATGCCATGGGCTGAATGGCATCCGAGCCCTGTGATTCCCCTTGGAGTCAGGGGAAATTGTCATGCTAAAATATACAATGGTGTTTTAAGCATTTCCACTTAGGGTGGAAAGTAATAATCCCCAGTGGTGCTCATGTTCCCCCTCGTGCGTGAGCACCGGACATGTGAGGGGCCGGTCACCCCCATGAGACTTTTGGGTGCTGGTCCTTGGTGCCTGGGGAAGGACACGAGCATGACAATGTGGGTATCACGTAGGCAGGCAGCGCTGCCAGCCCATGCACATGCCTCTGCCCTTGCTCCTGGGCCTCTCCAATTAAAGGAGGCAGTTGGCATGTTGGTTGTCTCTGGAAAATTCCCGGTCCCCAACCCTCCCTTTGATTCCTGCCAATGAAAAGTGTATCCAGCTTACCTTGTCTTACAAAGTGAGACCTAAATCTCTTGTTATAAATAATCCAGCAGCTCCAGGTCCAAGGAGGGGAGGTTTTTGCTGGGTCACTTGCAGCACAGCAGAGCCTGGAGGGACAGAGGATGAAGGAACTCAATGTTCAGAGGAGGCAGGTTTCAACCCAAGCCTCGAGAGGAGGGAACGTTAGAAAAGCCTGTGGCTGTTTTCCAGGGTTTCAGACTAAGGCTGTTTATTAGGCCTCAAATCAGAGTGGGGTCAGTGTGAGAGGCCACTAAAACACACAGAGGCAGCTGTCCTGCTAAGCACTGACCCTCTCAGGAAGGCTGGAGCACCTTGGGGGTGACCGAGTCTGGATGGTAGCCCATGAGTTAATCTCATTCTGGTTGGGTTTTGCCCTTGTTTGTTCTCTAGGCATCGTTTCGGTGCACCTCAAGAAGGACAGCCTTGGGAACCTGACCCTGATTGCCAGCCCCAGCCTGCAGGCAGAGAGCTGTGGCCGCCTGGACAAGGCCAGTGGTGACCCCTCGGTGACGATATGGCACAAAGGCAAGTGGGCCAGCGGCGCCGGCAGCGAGCACGCCCTCGCCAAGTGGAGCCACACGCAGCTCACCAAGAGCTTCAAGGAGAGGTGAGGGTCTGCTCCTCCCTGCAGACAGCCTCCTGCTCCTCGCCTGCCGCCCCGGGGAGGGTCTAAGCGGGGTGGGTTTGGTTGGTACCGCTCCTGGTTTGAGGCGAAGTGAGCAAAAGCAATCACGGAATGGCTGAGGTTGGAAGGGAGCCTAGAGATCATCTCATCCAGCATCCCTGCCATGGGATGCCTCTCAACTAGCCTGGGTTGCTCAAGGCCTTGAACACCTCCAGGGAGGGGCATCCACAACCTCTCTGGGCAATCTAGTCCAAAGTCTCACCACCCTCAGACTGAAGATCTTCCTAAGATCTAGTCTAAACCTACTCTCCTTCAGTTTAAAAGCAACGCCCCTTGTCCTGTTGGAAAACTCTTAGGAAAAGTCTATCTCCAGCCTCCCTGTAGGTTCCTTCAAATATTGGAAGGCAGTTCTAAGGTCCCCCTGGAGTCTTCTCTTCTCCAGCCAAGGTGAAGAAAACCAAAGCTCAGCTTGGTGGCTTCACAGTTCCTCTCTTCCCAGCTCTTGGCTGAAGCGGGGCAGATTTGGCTCTCGCTGAGATGCCATTGCTCAAATATGGGCCTCAAATTCTGCTTTAAACGTGTTCCTGGGAGTGCAGTGTGCTCCAAAAGCAGGAGAGGCCCCAGGAGAACAGCCACAGCACATATCGTCCTTCTGCTGGTAGCCAGCCAGCAGCAGCAGCCCCGAGGTGGTTCAGTCCTGTCCTCATCCCAGGGGAGAGCTGTCTCCAAGAGGCACTGCAGTGCTTGCAAACACACTGCGACCTCAGGGCTTGCAGGAGCTTTCTGCAAGACATCTTTTGTCTCAAAAAGGACCTCGGTTGGCTCAGAGTGAAGGGTGCAATATTGCTACTGTGAAAGCACTGCCCTGGGTGTGATGCAAGTTATGGTTTTTGGATAAGCGAGACCAAGGAATGACTCTCCAAGGAGAACAAACTTCCACACTGCTCCCTCCCTTCCCTCCTCAAAGGCAGCCCTTCTAAATTAGGAATCATTCCTATTGTGGGACAGTTTGCCTGTGTTGTGCCTTTTAGGTAGATAAATAGAGATTCCTGCTCATTGGTGTTATGAATGGCGCTTTCAGAGGAGCCAAGCACACCTTGAAATTATAATGAAAGAAAATATTGGCACCCAGCAATAGCTGGCTTTCTGAAAATGACTTTTACTCAGTAACAAAGGATCTCTGCAGGTTGGACATGATGAGTGTGTTTCCTTTGAGAGTCCCTGAAAATTCACCTTATCAAGTTTGAGGCTCTACAAAAAGAGGAGGGGATGGAATATTCTCTTCTGGAGCTTACAAACCAAACGTGTTCTTTTGTGTGTTTTGTCTAGCTGCCCGGGGAAGATGCTATTGAGGACAGACCTTCAGTACTGCACAGATTCACTTTTGGAAGATGCGAATGGAAACCAGCCAGAAAGAAAGAGCTACAACCCCTGGGGACTGCACTGCCACAGACAGCACCTGAACCGCATGTCCTCCAAGCATAATGAGAACAAACTTCATCGTATCCTTTCTGCTCTCTCTCTGCTCTGGCATAGTCTTGCATACAGAGAACAGCTTGTAATCAATGTAGGTTTTACTGCAGGGGTCTGCACCCCTCCTCTGCCCAGTCTTTGGGAAAACACAGAATGGAGTTGCTCTGTTATCTTCTCTCACTGTTTATAAAAGAGAGAGAAGAAAAAGAAGAAAAAAACCACTTCCCATAAAGTGTATTCAGCCTAAGTCAAGGATCCCCTTGGCATGCATTTAAAAACACAACTATATAGGAATTAGCAGCTGCCTCGCCTTTTATTTTCTTATTACACTTCATTACCCACCAGTCATGTGAATAATAGAGTTTAACAACTTCCCCCCCACCCTCTGGAGCGAGTACGGCACCGAGGCGAGGTGTGGGATTGACAGCCCAGGGCTCTGGTGTCACCAGAGAATGGAGCTGTTGGGGCTTTAATTGGTAGGACTGTACTACAGTAAATTAACAGCAATTGGCAGCAAGGGGCCTATAGCAATGACAGGTGGGTAAAATTGGCTCAGAAAGTCTCATTACAGTTGTGAGCTGTTATGGAGCGCGTCAGCAGTGGCTCTGATTTAAGACCTCTTTCAATTAGAATTTAAAAGTATTGGGTTTCCCTTAACTCCTGTTCAGAGTTTCTATTGCTTGAAAATGTGGTGTCAAAATACAACTATCCCTGTATCCTGGACTTAAAGATGGGAACCAGGCAGCACGGTGACGACGCCTCGGAGGAGAAGAAAGCCAGACACATCAAGAAGTGTGAGCAGAGCACCTCGGCCTCCTTGGGTGTCCGCATCTGTGGGATGCAGGTGAGACCATGGAACCACAGAATCTCTGGGAAGGGACCTCCAAAGGTCATCTAGTCCAACCCCTCCCGCCATAAGCAGGGACATCTGCAACTAGATCAAGCCACTCAGAGCTTCATCCAGCCTGATCTTGAATGTCCCCAGGGATGGGGTCTCCACCACCTGTCTGGGCAACCTATTCCAGGGATCTATCACCCTCATACTGAAGAACTTTTTCCTAAATCTGCCCTTTTCTAGCTTAAAGCCATTGCCCCTCATCCTGTCACTCCAAACCCTTCTGAATAGTCCCTCCCCTGTAGGCCCCACAGGGCTTGAAACCAAGCTAGAGATGTAAAGGGACAATTTGCTGGTGTAGACTGGAGTCGTTTTATTCTCATCTCCCTCTAAATACAAACTGTAAGAATTGGCCACTTGGTTTTGTATCCTCTAGCAGGAGAGGATGCTTAGAGCAGAGGACAGAACATGGACATGAGCTTGTTGGAGGCTACAAAAATGATCTGAGGCTGGAACCCCTCTGCTGGGAGGCGAGGCTGGGAGTGTTGGGGCTGTTGAGCCTGGAGAAGAGAAGGCTCCAGGGAGCTCATCTGGTGGTTTTTCAGTACTTAAAGGCGCCTGTCAGAAAGCTGAGGACAGACTTTTGAGCAGGGCCTGTTGGGACAGGACAAGGAGTGATGGTTTGAAACTAAAAGAAGGAGATTAAGAGAGAGCAGGAAGAAATGTTTTACATGGAGGGTAAAGACCCTGGTGAGCCCCTGGCCCAGGCTGCCCAGAGAGGTGGTCACTGCCCCATCCCTGGAACCATCCCAGGGGAGGTTGGCCGGGGCTCTGAGCACCCTGCTCTAGCTGGGGATGTCCCTGCTTAGGGCAGGGGGGTTGCACTAGATGAGCTTTAAAGGTCCCTTCCCACCCATTCTATTATTCTATCATACTGTGGCATCTATAGAGTAACCCTTTCCCCCTACCCCTCTTTGACTTGTGGAGATTTGGCTGCTGTCACAGGCAGTGGCTGCACAAGCACCACCCTGCACCACTGCCACCAGTATGAGCAGCTGGAATCCGTTTACCCCAGCTGAGAATCTGCCTGTACATGAGCACAGATTCCTCTCTCATGCTCAGTTCTTGGCTGCTGCACAAAGAAGAAAACCAAAAAAAGCATCCTGCTGCCCTGCTCCTGCCTTCACAGACTGCAAGAGCAAGGGGAGGGGTTACTTTGTGCTAAATATTACAATTCCTCTTGCTCAAACTGCTGCCCTTCCCTTTCACTCCTAAATGAAATCACGCACTTGTATCACTCACCCTTCTCCAGCAGGTTTCAGAACGTTCTTCTGCTGTGCCTGAAGGATAATCATGAGAATGATGGTTATAAAGCACAGATATAGCAGTGTAAACACTCGGTGTCAAACCCTGCATCCCTGTCTGGGCTCTGCCATCCTTTTGTTGAGCAGATTATCCTTTAAATTACTCGTGGCGTGCGGGTTAATTCTAAATTCGCTCCTTCATTTGTTACTCAGCGTTACCAGAGCTTCACATACAAATTTCTGTCTAAATCTCATCTCTCTGTGTTTAAGAAAGCAAGATCATAGCTACCCGTGCATTATGTATTGGGAGAAGGTTCAGAGCTGGGGTATTCCTGTGCTGCTGCAAACTCCCACCATAGCCAGAGGGAAAATGCTGTAAATCACTCATGTCAGGACTATGACTTACAGCTATTTGGGTTTCTCAAAGGGGTAATTTATAGCAGTACAACAAGGATCTGCACTAGTGGTTTAAACAGGAGAGTTTAAATCTCCAGGAAAGACAGGAGGTGGGATTCAGCACGAAGCCTGCAGCACGTTGCCAGGGTTGCTAGATGTTGCCAGACTGCAGAGGAGCTGCGTCCCCTTCCTCAGCTCGGGTCTGAACTTTGTAGATGAGGGAGAAATCTAGAGCTTTGGGAGAACCTGAATGACTGAATCTGGACTGTTGCTTTCTTGCCTCCAGGTTTACCAAGCGGACACTGGCCATTTTCTCTGCAAAGACAAGTATTATGGCAGGAAACTCTCAGCAGAGGGATTCAGGCAAACCTTGCGCCAGTTCCTGTGCAATGGGAACCACCTCCGGACGGATCTCCTGGAGCCCATCATCCTCAGGCTAAAAGCTCTGCTCTCTGTCATCAGGAGGCAAAGCTCTTACAGGTTCTACTCCAGCTCGCTGCTCATCATTTATGAGGGACAGGAGAACAAGGAGAACACAGCCCCCTTGGATAATCACCTTCACTTCCAAAAAACAAACTGCACGGCCTCCCACGGCACCAATCCCTCCAGAGTCGACGTCCGGATGATAGACTTTGCCCACACCACTTTTAAAGGCTCCAAATGCAACCACACCACGTACGACGGGCCAGACCACGGCTATATTTTTGGCCTGGAGAACCTCATCAAAATCCTTCAGAACATCTCCTAGAGGGCAAGGACAAACGCTGTGGGACAGCCTGGATTTAGTGACCCATAGCCCTGAAAAGCACCGCATGGGGTCAGTCGTGTGGGACCCTCTCAGCTGCCGGATGTCACGTGCAAGGTTTGGAATGAGAGCATGGACAGCTTGCTAGGAAAGTGCTGAAATTGCTGCGTGCTGTTACTGAACTCAAGGGTAACCAAGCCAAGAACTGAAAGAATCTGTTCTGTCTGCAATCAGTCGGGAGATTTCTTCTCCTTCCTTGTTTTACTGCTGTCCTTGATTTATTCCTGAGCCAAAAGAAAGCGTTACTTGAAAGAGTCTTAATGATAAAATAGGACCTGCTCACCTCTCTGCTCAGGAAGCCAAGTGGGCTAAGGAGATATTGAGCATTTGAGTGAGATTATTAAAATGAGCCGGCAGGTCGGAACAGATTTGCAGAATTACTTTCAACTCGTGCTCAACGCTATGAACTGAAATAAAACTGAGCAAAAAAACTCATATGAGAGAGGGGGGAAAAAAAAAGGCACCCTCTGACATGAATGCTCCACGTGCCCAGAGCTGCGAGGAGGTTAGGTGTGGGGAAACACAGACCTGAGAGAGCTGCAGAGGTTCTGAGCTGCTTCAGGGGTGAAAGCAGCAGAACCTCAGACCAAGAACCACACCTCGCAAAGGTTCCATGTCCCTGCAGGATTCTAACAGGGCATGCTACAGAAACTTTCTGTGCAAGAGGCTCCGTAGGGGCTGGAGGTACAGGAATGTGATGACTCTGTCAGGTATCAGTCACGAAACACATTCACACTGAGGTGGTTTTGCTTAAAAAAAGAAAATAAAGATTTTTTTTTTAAAAGTGTGAGATTGAGTCAGGGACTAGACATTAAAGGTCACCTAGAAATTCTTTGATACAAATATCATGTGTGTGTTTGAAGGAGACAATAACAAAAGACTCGAAATAATGTTTACAGCTTTTGTGGACAGATTTTATTATTATGGAACAAACATAATTCCTTCCTGCATGGTGTGGGAAACCTAAAGGAGAATCCTTAAACAAGGAAGAGAGCTACAGAACCCCATTACTGGGGAATGGGGATACAAATAAAATTGTCTAAGTAACTCTCAGCTGTTGTCCATCTCTTTTTCACCTCCTGAGCACCCCTAAGTTATGTTACCTTTTGTTCAGGGCTGTATGTTTCGAAGAGAGACGTTATTTCCACAGGCTTAAACACCAGATCTCAAGGGAGACCCCTTCACTTGTATTTCACTGCGTACAGCTGGTGAATCACCACAATTTATAGCTGGAAATTTTAAGTCCTTTGGCCCAGTTGTGTTATTTGACTTGGCCTCAAGTCCATCTGGGAAGACCACATTATTTCACTGGGTATTGTTCACAGCGTTGCAGATTTCTTGCCCACAGCCTCAGATGACTATAACAAAAGCCACAAACACTCCACTTCAGCAGTGAAAGGATTGAGTCATCCATTGTCTTGGCTCACATTCGTGAGCACACCGTGGTCCTGTGTGATCCCTGCTAATTGTGGCTGTTACAACTAATTGTGGTTTACACAGACCTGCCTCAGCAACCGCAGCCCTGCTGAGCCTCTGGCTGGATGCGTGCACCCAGACATCAGCTTTGAAAGTGGGGAAGGATGAAGAAAGGTCTAAGCATGACACCAGCAGGCAGAACCCTGGTCAGCAGAGCAAAACATCCTCCTTGGCCACCTATTCCTGGAAAGGAAACCACAACCTGTTGCTTGCATAGTGATAGAAGGCATCCTACTCACTCCCCTGAGCATCTCACAAGCACATAATTATAAAGTATTTACTCATCAGCATGCCAAGAGGAGAAGCTCTGAGCCAGTGTACAACCTTAGGTACTCCATGGGGAAAAGGGGACAAACAGGCAAGGCTTTCTAGGTTTGAAAATGGTCAGAAACCAAGCATTAAGGTTGTGTGCTGGCTGCCTGGCCTGGGCATCTGCAGAACCACAGCAGCAGCATCTATTTGCCAGCTGCACAAAGCAGGACGCCTGGATGCATAGGCAGGAATCTCGTGAGGGAAGGGGCACAGCCAGGCTGCTCAGCTTGAACACACAGGGTGGGCTGTGAGCGTCGCTCCCTGAGCCTCAAACTTCTGGCTCTCAGCAGCTCCCTGGGAGGAGGCTGGAGCCAAGTGAGGGTTGGTTTCTTCTAGCAAGGAACAAG